GTGTCTTGTGCCTTTCCATGTTGTTTAAAAATGGTAATTGTTGTCTCCCTCATCAAACCATTTTCCCTCATAAAATACAACTGAGACATCCAATGATTGTTGCCATCACAGTTTCAAGTAGCTGCCTTTTTTCTGCTTCCAAGTGAATTGAGAGGTCTGGAGTCAATAGCTACCCAAATCCAAAAATGTCAATTTCCAGATACTGTAAAACCGGAGTCCATAGTAATCCCTGGGTGTAGTCTTGCGTTGTTTGATGTCTTCCATGGGACTCCATTTTTAAAGTGTCTAGACAGGCCCGTAGTCAGGATTTTGATTTGGGGGGAGGGGGGGAGGGCTGAGTTTGATTTTGGGGGGGGGGTCAGGATCTACCCTACCAAACCTTTTGTATCATTATCCCAATACCCCCATGCATATTGAACATGGTGATCAGATCATGATATGAATAAACATAACAGTTTAAATAATATACCAGTAAGGCCTTCTCACGGACCACCCTGAGAATTTCGGGGGACGGGCAAAGCCCCTCAAGCCCCCCCCCCCCGGTTACAGGCCTGTGTCTAGACCAGGCATGGGTAAACCCAGGCCCGGGCGCTAGATGCGGCCCCTTGGGCTCTTTTCTCAGCTCCTCCTCTTTCTCACCATCCTATCCTTCGTTCCTTCTCTTTCTCCTTCCTTCCTTCCTTCCTTCCTTCCTTCCTTCCTTCCTTCCTTCCTTCCTTCCTTTTTTTTCTTGTTTTCCTTCCTTCTCTCATTCCTCCCTCCCTCCTTCCTTATTCTCTTTCACTTTTCCTTCTTTCCACCCTTCTCTTCCTCACTCCCTTCACTTTTTCCTTCCTCTTTTTCCCCTGGGGGATGTTTATATGAGAGAAGAGAAGGTAGAGAGGGAACATGAGAACCATGTTTCAAGATTTCAAAGGATGTCCCACTGAACAGTGGGAGGGGAAAAACTGATTTTCTGCTGCTCTAGAGACCACGGCACAAGGGAGCAATAGTTTCAAATGGCTGAAAAGCTTAGGAAGAACTTCCTGAGAGTAAGAGCTGTTGGAGAGTGACATAGGCTGCCTCAGTGTGTAGTAGAGTCTCCTTCTCTGGAGGCTTTTCTGCAGAGGCTGTCTATTGGGAGTGCTTTGGTTGTGCCTTCTTACATGGCAGGGGGTTGGACTGGATGGCCCTTTGGGGTCTCTTCCAGCTTCATGATTATATGATTCTGTATCAAGAGTAGGCAATACAGGGGTCTAATGGATAGACTTTTTCTCTCCCATCCACCATCTCATACTGACCAAGATCAACTCTTTTGGGATCCTAATGTTTCCCATATTTCCTTCACTTTCTGCCTCCAAAAGAGAAGAGGAAGGGGAGGAAAGGGCAGGGAAGGGACCCCTCCTAGCCCGCCCACCCTGTTCCAGCCTGCCATGTGGCCTCCAAATTAGAAAGTTTGCCCATGCCTGGTCTAGAACAGTACTTCTGAACATGTGGGTCCCAAGTTATTTTGGCCTACAACTCCCAGAAATCCCAGCCAGTTTACCAGCTATTAGAATTTCTGGGAGTTGAAGGCCAAAATTTCTGGGGACCCACTGAAGAAATGAGGGAAGCCTGCAATTTTGGTAATTTGAACATAGGAACGGAACAATGGATGACGAATTTGGATCATGCTTGGATGATGAGGCGATCGGGGATGGGATTGTGATACCTGTGTATTGATGATTGCTTATTAGTTATTAAGGGAAATGTGTAATTTAACTGCTATTGTATATTAATTATTGCTGTTTTTCTGTCTTTGCTGTTTGGAAACCACTGTGAGTCGCCCTCGGGCTTGAGATACAGCGGTATACAAGAATAGTAAATAAATAAATAAATAAATAAATAAATAATGTGATGAGATCCGTAATGTATTATGGCTTTTCTGAGATATGACACATTGACTTCAGTGTACCAAGTAATGTCTGAGCCTTCATCACTAGTAGCATAATTAGCCAGATCCTTCTCCCATGATGCTCAGCTTTCCTCCCTGGGCTGGAGATGCCTGAGATTTTGTAAGGGATTTCCCTTTGACAAATACAGCCAATGCACTAAAATTGTTCATCTGTGTAAAGTGAATTAAGGCGGATAGAATATTCAATTTGGAAGGATATTGAAATTTTGCCCTTTGCCTTAAGTAGATTTCTTTACTTAGCTAGATCTATTTCACTGAGTTGGTTCTTCAGTGGCAACTCTGCTGAAATTTCTTACTCTTTCTAGAAATCCTCTTTATAGCTATTTGTTTTAAGAACATTGTTGCCTCTTCATCTCGTGGTGCAGAATACAAGGCAATCCCTACACACTACTCTTTTGACCGGATGTGAGAGCTGGACCTTAGGGAAGGCTGAGCGAAGGAAGATCGATGCTTTTGAGCTGTGGTGTTGGAGGAAAGTTCTGAGAGTGCCTTGGACTGCGAGAAGATCCAACCAGTCCATCCTCCAGGAAATAAAGCCCGACTGCTCACTGGAGGGAAAGATACTAGAGACAAAGTTGAAGTACTTTGGCCACATCATGAGGAGACAGGAAAGCCTAGAGAAGACAATTATGCTGGGGAAAGTGGAAGGCAAAAGGAAGAGGGGCCGACCAAGGGCAAGATGGATGGATGGCATCCTTGAAGTGACTGGACTGACCTTGAGGGAGCTGGGGGTGGTAACGGCCGACAGGGAGCTCTGGCGTGGGCTGGTCCATGAGGTCACGAAGAGTCGGAGACGACTGAACGAATGAACAACAACAACACTCTTTTGACTGACTGATCTGAGTGATTATCCCAGCGCTGAGTGTAATTGTGTGCTGGGAAATGAAACAGAAATATTATGATTCTAGAGAAGTGTTTTTAAATTTGTAGAAGGTAAATGTGCCATTGATGATAATATCAATAAAAACCAGTCCTTAGTGTGTTTGAAACTGCAGTCTTCAGGGCATCATTGTTTGTTTCTGAATGCCCCCATCCAATTTAATGACTGGCATGGGAGCTTTTAAATTCTTCTGTCCAGAAACTAAGGGTCTAATTTAAATGTTCCCCATCCAGTCTCCTAAAGCAAGTGGGAATAAATTAATTTCAACTGGATCCACATATACCCCTCTTAGCTAAGAATTCTATCTTAACTTATATTGTTACGCTGTTTATTTATATTGGTTTTGTATTTTATGTTATTTTCTTTTCTTTTTTTGTTGTGTTCTTGTGTTATATTGCTTTATTGTGTTGATGGGCATGGCCTCATGTAAGCCACCCAAGTCCCCTTGGGGAGATGGTGGTGGGGTATAAATAAAGTTATTATTATTATTATTATTATTATTATTATTATTATTATTATTATTAACTAGATGGTTTTTTGATTTGGATGCCATACTCTGAGCAACTATGGTACAAGCTTAATGTACCATCCTTAATGTTGTCATAAAGACACAAATCTTCAATTTCTGGTTTTGGTCCTGAAATCTCAGGGACTGGAATACTCCTGACTTGGCTACCCTAAACCTCAACTAGTCACTGTTGAGGGAAATATAGAGAGAGAGAAATATGTTGGGGACTCCTCCCCCCAGCACTGTTGCTCTGGGCCAGAGTGAAGAGAGAGGGGGCCAGGGGACAGTTCCACCTTGTCTCTATGCTATGCTAATAATATAATATAATGTAATATAATATATTGTATATCCATATAATATTTATAATATTATAATGTAATACAATATAATACTACTACTAATATTATATTATAATTATATATCTTATATTACATGTAATATTACTAATAATATTACAATATAATGGTATAGTACAATATAGTAATATATAATACTGATATTGTACTATGCTAATAATATAATATATTGTATGTATATATATCTTGTAAGCCGCTCTGAGTCCTCTTCGGGGTGAGAAGGGCGGCATATAAATGTCATAAACAAACAAACAAACAAACAAATAAATATACCAGAGTTTCTTAGTATATATTTTTCAAGATAAGGCATTCTCTTTTTCCATTCTGGACTACAGAAAACATTTGTAATACCATTCTTGTTCCTCACTTCTACATTCAATTCGATTACACTGGCAGATCCAGGTCATTCATCATCCTATTTGGCTGAATGGTGATTTGTTTGCCAAGAAATACAAAAATCGTGCTATGTGTTTAGGCCTTAGGCACCTCCCCAATTCTTAGCCTTTTCAGGACCTTTTAAAGACACTTTCATACCACAAAGTCTTGGGATGGGGGAGAGAAATTTAGGATTCTCAACCAGAGAGTTCTAGTGCATCACTAAACTACAAATCTTTTAATTCAGTAGGGTTTTTTTCATGTCAGGAGCAACTTGAGAAACTGCAAGTCGCTTCTGGTGTGAGAGAATTGGCTGCTCGTAAGGACGTTACCCAGGGGACATTCGGATGTTTTACCATCCTGTGAGAAACTTCTCTCATGTCCTCACATGAGAAGCTGGAGCTAACAGCCGGGAGCTCATCCCGCTCCCCAGATTTGAACTGCCAACCTTTCGGTCAACAGTCCTACCAGCACAAGAGTTTAATCCATTGCACCACCGTGGGCTCAATTCAGTAGTATACAACCATGGCAGTTAAATTGGAATAATAATTGTGTAGTGTGCTAGAGCTCTAAATTATAGGAACTGGGCAAAATTGTATTTGCAAAATAATTGGAAGTGCTGTCAATAAGGGCAGCAACAAGATAAAACTAGGACCAACAACTAATTTGAGATGCCTGTTACTGTTTTTGTAACGTATGGTAAATTAATTGCTTCCATACATCAATACGCAGCAATGAAATTAGATGAATAGACATTTTATCTACCTTAAGCAAGGAGGCAGTTCTAAATTATGGTTTGATATTCCATATACTTTTGATAAACAGACTGGAAAAGAGCAATTCACTTAGTTCCAAAACATGATGGTTTGTTTGTAATTCCACCACTTCTTATATCAACAAATTGATTTAATACAAGCATTGTTCTTTATAATCCTGATAAAACTATAGGTACTGGAGAGGCAAATAAAAGCTAGAGATGACATGTCGTCAGGAACTAATTTTGCTATGCAGAGCCTGGACCATAAACACTTGCAGGGAGTTGGGGATCTTCGCGGGAGAGTGGCAAGGTAAGTTCAGGATAATTGTGATAATTGTGTAAATTGCAGTTCTGGAATCCTGTCTTGATAGGAAAAGATTGGGAACATTTGTTTCTGTATTGAATAATCTCTTTAACACATAAATTGTGTTAAAAATTAACTGTAGTCAGTTGAAACAAGCCAGTGTCAGGACATATAATAAATGTCAAACCTGAAATACCACTAGTAGGCCAAGTTTGTGCTAAGTATATATATTAGAAAGTATATTGAAAATCACATGAAACATGTTCTAGATTTTTGGATTTAAGGAATTTAAATATAAAAATTGAATAAACAAATCTAAATTGCAGTGCAGTGCAGAATCTGCAGATTCACAGATACTGGTGGTTTTTCCTTTTACACCAATAGTATTTTTTAAAGTTTTCACAATTGTTTTTGGGCTGACTAAAAAACACAGTATTAGTTACTATATGGATAAAGACTTAAATACGTGGTGCTTCATAATTAACAGAGCAGGGTGTGAGCTTGATCATTAGCATCAATTCCCTGAAGTAATGTTGAGATGCAGGCAAAACGTCAGGAGAGAATGCTTCTAAAACATGGCCATACAGCCTGAAAAACCTACAACAACCCAAAGTTGAGTCTTTTATATTTTCATTAGAGTGGAGAAAGAAGGAGCCCACAAATCTCTAGCTAAGCACAGACCGCTGGCTTTCATAGCTGTATTTAAATAACCCATTTCTCAGGAGCTGAGAGTGAAGGATTGCTCTTGGGGAAAACTAGTTACAATGGAATGATTTATACCTCTATATAAGCACTTTCTGCATATTGCTTGCCTTCACTGTTCCCTTTCTGAAATGTTGAATTTGCATATCTTCCAGCACTGGAAAGCACCAGTAAAAAAGATTTAAGAAGAAAAAGAACACTTCTGCTTAAGAGGATATATACAATATATGGATTTGGTCTGATATATTATTGGATCGACTGAATTTGTAACTGAAAAAAGATAGTACACAAACAATTCAATGAGGTCCGAGGAAGGTTAATAGCTAAACTGGTTAGGGGGCAGAAACAAGGTTCCTGGCTTCCAGCCAGTCAAGACCACGGGAACTACATCTCCTCTCCATTATCTGACATAGAAGGACAAAGAAGGGAAAATGGGGGATAGACTGGTGGTGGTTTTAGCAACTTTGCACCCTCGTCCCTTTTCTCTTAGCAGTTTGTGTGGGCCATTAGAATTGTAGTTACTAGGTAAATCTACACTAATCTATAAGAATTAATGCAGTTTGACACCACTTTTACTGCCATGGCTCAATGCTATGGAAGGCTAAATTCCATAGCTTTGACCCATGGCAGTTAAGTGGTGTCGAACTGTATTAATTTTACAATGTAGCTGCACCTATTTTTGTAGTTCAGCCTGTATTTTTGTGTCTGATGTCAATGGGGATGAGGGTTTTTCTGGGCCTGAGTCAAGCCCAGGCCTTGCTGAGAGGCCTGAGGTATTTCATGAATGGAGTGCTTCTCCTACAGATTCACAAAGTCAAATTCCTGGGAGAGGCCCACAGCAGTCTTTCTCTGAGAAACTGTCTTCTGAGGATGATTTGTCAGATGCAGAATTTAATGAGGTTAAAGATAGAAAGATAGAAGACTTTTGTAAATTGAGAGAGAGTTCTCAGGATCAACAACACTCAATCTGTCTGCTGGAAAAGGAAGATAAGAAATCCTTATCTGGTTGTAAGGGCAAGTGGAATACTTTCCTTTCAGCCCACTCATTGTTTTGTGTCTTGAATGGTTTTATTTTACTGTATATTGGTTGTAATATTCATATAATGTATGTTTTATGTAATTGATTATGTTGTTTTTATGTTTTGATTTTATTTGCTTCTTTGTTGTTGGGCTTGGCCGCTCCGAGTCCCAGTTGGGGAGATGGTGGCGGGGTACAAATAAAGTTATTATGATTATGATTATGATTATTATTATTATTATTATTCAGTTCTTGAGCCAGGAAAAGCTTTATATTGAGACAAAGGAAAGATTTTAGCTCAGTCTCGTCAATGTTGGAACTTCATGAGAGTCTTGTTTCAAGTTTTGCCAGGTTCCTGTTTCATGCATAGGATTCTCATGCTGTCTTGTTATCTGGATTTTGCATCCTTGGATCTTGTGTGTTTACCTTTGTACCTTGAACTTCATGGACTATCTTGTATTTTTGAACTACACTATTTTGGACAATACTGTTTTTACCTTTCTTACTGCTTTGCTTACGTATATTCTTCAATAGTCCGCTTGCTGATTTACTGGTGTGTTATTTAAGGACAGAAGTATTCCTTCTCTGGCATACAACACCTACTGTCTTCTACTCCCTCCCCTTCTATGGGGAATGTAAAAGTCTTTCCTCTCTCTCCCTCTCCCCCCTTCCTTCCATCCTTCCTTCCATCCTTCCTTCCTTCCTTCCTTCCTTCCTTCCTTCCTTCCTTCCTTCCTTCCTTCCTTCCTTCCTTCCTTCTGTAGGCTGAAAATACTGGGTTTTCCACTGACAGGAAAATTGGATTGCACATACCTTGTGGAGAAAGAAAATGGAATGGAATTTCATAACACAGTTACTGCTATGGGTATAATTCGATAAAATTATACAAAAGAGAGAAGGAACAAAAACATTATAAATAGCCATTGTTCTGTTGAAACTTTCAATCTGGCTGTTGAAGTATTGTCTTGAAATACAGGAAAATATGCAACCTTTAAAAAAAAGGGGGGGGGGTATTAGCAGTAGCTAGCTATTATGAAAACAGCTAAATAGAAAAAGGAGCATCTCTACCATCACAAATTTCTAAAAGCTCATTAGAAAAGAAAAGACTGAAGCAAATGTCCAGACACTCCACAATAAAGGCATAGCTTCTGAAAAGGCCTGATTCTTTTGTTGTGTCAGCCATTGTATCTCAGATGATGAAGCAGACAGAACAGTCCATCAGTACTGCTAGAAAATGACAGTTTTCCAATTAAGCTTGTGTCAGATTGTTCAGAGCTTTGTAAGAGCCAACAGTGACTATTTTCATCAGGTATGGAAACCAATGACACCATCACTGAATCACATACTTAGTGGTGTCCTTGTTGGACCTCTTTTCCATTATCAAAAGGTACTGGCCAGCACATATTGTGAAAAACACTGTTCTGTACTCCATGTCATATTATTATTAATATAATAGCCATTTATTCAATCAATTGTGGTTTCAAATCACTTTTTAAAGAAAACCACACATTGGTTGGGAGTGCCTTCAAGTAAGAGTCAAGGAGCTAACTGTATAACGTATATATTCTTCCATATGGAGAGAAATTGCTAGTTCGGATGGACATACCCATGGATGAATGAGGGTGCACAGAATGGGATAGAAAGGGTTTAAGGATTTTTAGCATTATTTAGTACCTTTTCCTTAATTCTCGTTTCTAGATGTGATGCCAGTATTGCAAAACTCTCTGGGGATATAAATATTATGAGGCTCGAGATTTCAAAACTAGAGAGAGAAATTCAAAGTATCCAGTCCTCCTTGGAAAATTACTCTAATAATGTAGAGATCAAGGTAAGAAGAAAATGTGTATATTATCTTAATTTGTGGAGTATACCACATCCAGACCTAATCAAAATCTTTGATTTTAATGGAAGACCAAGACATTTTTTTAAAAAAATTGTACTGTAATGGGTGTGTGTAAAACACTCAGTTTATTCGATGATTTGAGAATCAGGAGAGATGTCAATAACAATATGTATGATGCAATCTTGTTTTTGAGCATGGATTTGGAGCCATAGAAAGCACTTTACTGGCGGCTTTATCAAATATGGAATTTGTCCTGTCTATTGAAAAATGTCCCTGACAGCACTGAAAGGAAGATGCTCAGTTCATATTTCTAATTATAACACTTTAAAGCAGGCATGGGCAAACTTTGGCCCTCCAGGTGTTTTGGACTTCAACTCCCACCATTCCTAACAGCCTCAGGCCCTTTCTTTTTTTTCCCTCAGCTGCTTAAGTGGCTGGGGGGGGGGGGGGGGGGGGAGGAAGGGACCTGAGGCTGTTAGGAATGGTGGGAGTTGAAGTCCAAAACACCTGGAGGGCCAAAGTTTGCGCATGCTTGTTTAAAAAAATTCTGTAGCCTTTTATTCATACCTGATTTGTATGAAGATTTGACATGGACTTTCAGCTCATCTGTTCGAATGCATCTCCCTCTGTGAACAAAGGACAAGAGGGATCCTTTCACTTCTGGAGGAGTCTATCATATACCATGCAGCTGTGGACAAGTCTACACAGGGACCACCAAATGCAGCATTGCCCTAACAAATCAAGGGACATGAAAGGCACTGCAGACTAATTTAACCCGAGAAGTCAGCCATAGCAGAGCACCTGATGAACCAACCTGGACACAGCATATTATTTGAGAACACAGAAATGCTGGACCACTCTAACTACTACCATGTCAGACTACACAGAGAAGCCATGGAAATACACAAGCATGTGGACAATTTCAATAGAAAGGAGGAAACCATGAAAATGAACAAAAGCTGGCTACCAGTATTTAAAAAACTCTAAAATCAGGACTGTAAATAAAGAGCAACACTGAAAAAGCAGGGGAATTCCAGACAAGAATCAATCAGGGCCAGCTAACACCTCCCAACAGGCAGCAACCAGCCAGGCTTTGAAGCTGCAAGATCATTAATACTAATCAAGATAGTCAACTGCAACAGTCACACTTGCCTAGTTTCCAACAGACTTCACAACCTCTGAGGATGTCTTCCATAGATATGGGTGAAACATCAGGAGAGAATGCTTCTGGAACATGGCCACACAGCCCAGAAAACTCACAGCAACCCAAAGAAGAAATACTTTAACAGAAAGAAAGTGAGAGAGTGCTGATCTGTGCAAGGTATGTATCCAGCCCTCCCTGGACATGTACCATGTTAAGGGATTGTAAGTTATTTCTTTTTATTTTGTTATATTTCAGCTTTCCAAGTGAAGTTTAGTAGCCCACTAAAAAATTAAAACCAGGGAATCAATTCTGCATACTAATTATTTTGCAGAACTTGGTAGCAAGCCTCCATGATTCAGCCAAATCAGTTCTGAGAAAAGACTAATAGTTCCTGCTTGAAATTCTGGCTTTTCCCACATCACTGCAGCAGTAATGTGTATTTAATGTAAGTGCTGGACTTCTGCCTCATAAAGAGTGTTCCCTGTTGAATTCTTATTAGGTAATGCAGCTTTCAGGCAAGATAGAAGCGTCCAACTCAGAGCTAAGCTCCAATTTAAAGACAATACAAGGGAATCAGCACCATGAACTGCATCTCCTAGATCTTAAGTAAGTGATTGAAGCTTTTTAATTCTGTTAATGCACCTGGTAGAGTTCTTAAGAGGCCGACTGTATTGGCATGAGTCCACAAAAGGAAACCCTTATTTGACATCAAGTCAATTTCAACACACAGCAACCCTATTAAGTAGAGACCTTCAAGATTCCCAGCCATTAAATGCCTTACTCTGGTCTTGTAAATTCAGGATCTTGGTTGACCCGTTCCATATAATGCAACCTTTGTCGATAGAACTTTCTTTCAGTCCTGTATTTCAAATGACTTGATTTTCTTCTTGACAGGTTTCTTCACTTTCACAACTGTACATAGAAAACAGAAATACTATGGCATGGATAATTCTAAGGTTGGGTGTATATTTTTCTCTGATCTTTGACATTAGCAGTTCATGGTCTGTGCCACAATCAGCTGGTCTTGTTTTGGCAGAGAGGATGGCACTTCTCCATCTTCTGTTTACAATTATGTAGTCTATTTGATTTCTGTATTGGCTATTGCATGCCATCCATATATAAAGCCATCAGTCTGGTAATCAGTTTGGTTGCTTGAAGAATATGTTTGCAATGAACAAACAATTGATGTTACAAAATTGAAGAAGTCATTCCTCTGTTTCATTTCTTAATCATAGGCCAACTTTTAAAATCATGAGGATCTCAAAGCAGTCTAATCCAGATGAGCCAGATTGTACTACTGAAACTTCCAAGGAACCAACAACTGAATGAAATATTGCGGTGGCTTTCTACCACTGTGCTATAGTGTCCTAACCTACTTCAACTACACATGGTTTGGTAACTGCACAGTGGCAGATAGGAAGGCACTCCAAAGGGTCACCACTACTGCACAGAGAACCATTGGTTGCCCCTTTCTTTCCCCTTTTTGGAAGAACATTAGAAGTCAAGCAGCCTTAAGAAAGCTCAGAGCATTCTTAAAGATCCATCTCACCCAACACATTCTTTTTTAAAAAAATATTACAATCTGGTAGACAGTAGAGGGTGACAAAAATAAGGACAAACAGACTGAGAAATAACTTTTATTCTAGAGCTGTAACTATATTGAACTCCATGGTTTTGTATTGATATGGCATTGGGGGCTGTATGGTGGTGGTTGGAGTGTGGAGGGATTGTTGTGTTGTTTATGTGATGTTTGCTGGGGAAAGCATTTGATTTCATTGTATTCTATTATGGACTTTGAGGGACAGCCCCCTCCTTTTTATTTTTTTGTTCTGCTGCCCTTACAAGCACATCTAGAGACATGAGAGAGGACTTTTGGTGCTGCCAAGGATCTTTGAAATTCTGTTTGTAAGGAGGTTAGACCAATACCTTCATAGAATAATAGAATCATAGAATCATAGAGTTGGAAGAGACCTCATTGGCCATCCAGTCCAACCCCTTGCCAAGAAGCAGGAAAATTGCTTCTTTTTTGTTCTGACAGGAGCAGTTTTTAAGTAAGGGTTTTTTAATAGTTTGCCTTACTATTTTTTAAATCTGTTTTGCACTTAATTATAATTTAAAATGGAGCCCCCGGTGGCACAGTGGGTTAAAGCGCTGTGCCGGCAGGACTGAAGACCGACAGGTCGCAGGTTCGAATCCGGGGAGAGGCGGATGAGCTCCCTCTATTAGCTCCAGCTCCTCATGCGGGGACATGAGAGAAGCCTCCCACAAGGATGATAAAACATCAAAAATCATCCAGGCATCCCCTGGGCAACGTCCTTGCAGACAGCCAATTCTCTCACAACAGGAGCGGTTGCTCCTGACACGACAAAAAAAAAATCATTTTAAATTACTTGTCATGTTAGAATTTAATTTCATTCTGACAATTTTTTTATTTTTTATTTTATATTGTATTTGTTTGAATTTTGTAAGATATCATGCATCCCAATCCTGGCAAAACAGTGGGAGGGAAACATTTTTAACAAACGCTGTTGGGTTTCTGATCTGTAGTCTAAAATTCTGAGATTAATCTGTTTCAAAATCTTACTTTTTAAATGGTAGTTAATAATGGCATGTACTAACAATTTCATTTGGAGAGCTTGTTACAGTAGAGTGTCGCTTATCTAACCTTCACACATCCAACGTTCTGTATTATCCAACGCAGTCTGCCTCGTGCCCGGATCCACAACTGTTTCAATAAGTTGTGATGTTTTGGTGCTAAATTCGTAAATACAGTAATTACTACATAACGTTACTGTGTATTGAACTGCTTTTTCTGTTGATTTGTTGCAGAATATGATGTTTTGGTGCTTAATTTGTAAAATCATAACATAATTTGACGTTTAATAGGCTTTTCCTTAACCCCTCCTTATCATCCAACATTTTTGCTTATCCAATGTTTTGCCGGCCTGTTTATGTTGGATAAGCGAGACTCTACTGTATATATGACACTGATGAGACTCTACTGTATTTAATTTTTAACCTCCAGATTATTTCTTCCTATGTGCTTCAACACGTACTGGTACTTCCCAGTACAATGAACTGGAAACTGTTTAGTAGCAACCCAAGCTTTGCCTTCTGTAGACTTGGCTTCCTGTGCTGAGCACAGATTTGTGCTGTGATAAAAAATACAACCATCTTCCCTGATGTTTTCCCCCAATATTAATATTCTATTGATATACACTAATAGTAATAAGAGGCAATTTTCTTTAATTATTAGGATCAATGGTGTTCTAAATGACTTTAAGGATCAAATCCAAAACCAGCAGAAGTGGATAGAACATGAGATGAGGAGATATGAACAAGAACAATCCCACCTCACAAACCAGCTCTTTGGCACAATGAAAGATAGACTGGTAAGAGTACTTAGAATCACAGAAACATAGAAACATAAAGTTGGAAGAGACCATAAGGGCCATCCAGTCCAATATCCCGCTATGCAGGAATAAATGACCAAAACAATCCCAAAAGATGGCCTATATTTAAAACTTTCAAAGGAGGAGACTCCACCATGTATAACTTTTAAATCCTATGCAGACTCTGGTAGATCTAGTAAAGTCTGCCAAAATTTATCCCTTGTTTAAATCATTATTGTAGTAAATAAAAACTTTTTGGCTAGAAGTATCAGCTGAAATCTGAATACTTTCATTAAGCAGAGGGGAGTAGGGAGAACATTCAAACAAACAAAAAATGGAAGAGGTGCCTTGTAGGATGACTTAAGAAGATGAAGAATGGATACCTAAACCAAAAGACATGCACAATGATACAATATGATCTGATTTTATGATAATAGAGAATTCATAATTTTTGCAACAATTTAATTCTTTGCCTAAATTATTCCATTGCACTAACTCGGCATTTCTCAACCTGGATGCCAAAGACCATCAGAAAACACAGTATTTTCTGTTGGTCATGTGGGTTCTGTGTGGCAAGCCCTCAAGTAGAGTGTTTAGCTTCAGGAAATCCTTGTTCCAGAACAAAGATGACCATCATTTATCTGAATTAAACTTCTCATGTAAAGAAGTAAACCAGATGGGGGTACTATCAAGTTCTGAGGGCTATTTATTGCTGTGATGATTTCTTTCTGGAAATTCAAACAATGTCCTCCTCATTCCAATTTGTTTTTCCCCAAAATAAATTGTAGCTCTTTTTTTCACACCACAGCAGACCAAACAGTTTAAAATAACACACTGATTTGATGGCATGTGCTGGGAATATGTGAATGTTAAAATTATAGCCCTCTCTGCAAGCCTTCACTGATTCCTTCCCTTCCAAGTCTTCACTGGAAATCTACAGCTAGTGAAGCTATAAAAAGGTTTAGAACTTACTAAGGTCTTTCTGAGAAATGCATCATGTTCTGTTGATTTTCTGTAGCTTTGTTAATTTGGTCAAGTTTTCCCATGACTATTACTATTTGCATACAGTTGACATTTGATATAAGGCTCCTATCAGTATTATTTAATCACAGTGAATGTGTTGGATGTCAAATGTGCTGAATGTGAAATGAATACTTCACAAAGATTAAGTTGTTTACATGATTTCTGCAACCCTTGGGGATTGCTTAATGCAACACTTTCCCCTGCAGTGGACCTACACCTTACTCTATCATCTATCTACCTCTATTAAGAGAGAAATACCTTTGTTTTATGCAAGCTGTCACTGCCACAGGGTAAGGAGAATATTCTGACAGGACATTCTCCTTGCTCACTTGTGATAAGAAGCATATGATGAAAATCCCTTCCTAGGCATCTATTTAGAGACACCTTGGGCAGGAAAGAATCCATGAAGGCTTGCAGAAGGGGGGAATGCTTTTTAACACTCACATATTCCAAGAAAAATGTAACCAATTTGTCTTAAGAAGTTATTTGTGACTAATGTTGTATTATGAGATGATGTGAACCCAGCACCATAAGATGGGGGTTAGAGCTTTCCATTTAGCTGACCCCTAAAGTAACATGGATAATAGTGGATAAAAAGTCATAATGGAAATTTTATCATGTGTCTTCAAGTTGTTTCCAAGTTATGGCAACCTAAGGAAAAACTAACCTGTTGTTTTCTTGGCAACAGTTCTTGAGACAGGGGTTCCCTATGTTTTACAGTGAGTCAAGTGTGACTTTCCCAAGGTTGCCCTGTGGGTTTATATAGCTGAATAGGGATTTGCACTTGGTCTCCAGAGTTGTAGTCCAATACACAAACCACTACAATGGAGATTACATACTATTATAACAGTTCACATTTCTATTTGTGAATTGGCACTTCAAAGACACCCTGATGTGTATTAATGAGCATGATGTTGGGTGGCTGTCAGACTTGTCAGTGTGTTGCCATGTGATTCCAACAAGGGTGCCCCTAAGAATCCTGACCGAGCATAGTTTGTTTATTTATATAAAGGTCGTTCCTGTCCATCAACTCAGGATACCATTCATGGCCCATTCTTTGCAAAGGAAACAAATAATGGAATGGTCTTGGATGAAATTGTACAGCACCAAGAGTAAATTTTTCTACAAGGATCTTACAAATGAGAAAAGTTAGACATCTTCTTCTATCTCCATACAGCAAAGATTTTGAACAAAATGACAAGTAATTTAATGTTTCAAAGCTATTTTGGTGGATCTTTTGTAATTACCTTGATGTCTTATAATGATCTTTCAAAAGGAAGCAGTGGAGAAGAAAATGGAAGACAGTCTTTATTTCACCTCAAAAAGGATAGAAAGTACAGATAAAACAGAGCACTTTTACACAGAGATGAGCCATGTAAAAAATGATAATAATAAACTCCTTGCAAGGATTACTAGATTTGAAAAAATGATGTGGAAAGAACTGGAAGAAATGCAGAGTGAATATCGATCAGGTGAGGCTTTACTGTCATAAAAATAATAACAAAAATATTTTAGGGAAATTTTGGGCTTGCAAAATTTGATCAGGAAGAAACTTAATATCATTATATTCATAGTCCCTTTAGAATATGATGAAAGATGGTTTTATCCATAATCACACGTTCCTGCTTTGGTGAGTCAACCTGTCAAGCCTTTTCAAATTGTTCTAAATTTGAAACAAAGGAGTCAAATCCAGTAGCAATTTTTTGTCATGTCTTTTCAGGTAATTTCACTTAGTCCCATGTTACTCATTTGTACTTACTGTTCAGAAACATTTTAATGGTTTAATACAAAATGTTTGTTCCAACAGGAACAGGCTCAAATCTATGACATTTGCCTAAGTGCTGAGTTTCCTAGCAATCCAGGAAGGAACAGCAACATCATATGGACCTCACATATATACAGTTCTAGTATGTGGACCAGTTCCTAGTGGCAGTAGAGTATGAATCTCATTTTAATGTCATTCCTGGTCCATTCCTAAGCTTGCTCTGGAAAAAAGAAACTGGTTATTGAAATGAATGACTTCAGCTGTAAGTTGCCAGAGTCATTCTGGATGACCTCGAAAATTCCTAGAGATGTATCATATTTAGGAATTTGCTAGTTCTTCCAGGAAGACTGCATGGTAATCTGCAATGGAAGCATGCCATAAAAACACCAGGATGACCTAGAAAATTCCTAGATGTAGTTGGGGAAAGTGCAAATACCAGTCCCACAGGTGCAGGGGTAATTCTGTAATCTTCTTAGAGCTTTTCCAGATGAACACACCATCCATTTTTTTTCTGTGTCGGGAGCGACTTGAGAAACTACAAGTTGCTTTGAGTATAAGAGAATTGGAGGACGTTGCCCAGGGGACGTCCAGATGTTTTACCACCCTTGTGGGAGGCTTCTCTCATGTCCTCATATGGGGAGCAGGAACTGACAGAGGAAACTCAACCCGCTCTCCCCGGATTCGAACCGTTGACCTGTCAGGCAGCAGTCCTTCCGACACAAGGGTTTAACCCAAATCGCCACTGGAGGCTCCATCAGTTAAAAAAAGGAAAAGCAATAAATAAAGTTCCTGAGTGTAATCCTAGATCTTGTATTGTTCTAATTGTTTAGCTGTTATGGTATTAGCAATATTTTGATTTTTAATTCTGCATAGTATTGTCAACTTCATTGAGTGTGGTTTGGGTGTGTGAATTTAACGATTGCCATGATTGAAGGAATCACTGAACAAGATTCAGCCTGTGGAACCAGTTGTTCTGCATATGTAGGTGTGCTTTTAAGTTTTGCCAGTAAATAAAAAGCCTGCTGAATCTCCCCTTAACACCCCCCCTCCCCAGGACTTGGGGTCTTTGGAGCGGCATCCAAGGAAGAGTGAAGAGCTTCAGATAAGAGGAAAAATACCACTCCTTCTTTGTGTGTGCAAAATCTCACAATGAAAGGTGACAACTGAAAAACAGCATATAGCCTGCTCTCCTCTTTCACAGTGTTAGGGGCACAGGTTCCCTGTGAGAGCGGCAAAGCCACACATGTCTTAAGCCCTCAAGCATGCTTGTTGACTTTCATGCTCTCTCAGGGTCCTTCCACACAGCCCAATATCCCAGAATATCAAAGCAGAAAAGCCCACAATATCTGCTTTGAATTGGGATATCTGAATTGGTGCCATATGGAAGGGCTCTGAATCCACGCTGCCATGTATTCCAGTTCAAAGCAGAAAATGTGGGATTTTATTCAGCTGTGTGAAAGGGGCCTCAGATGCTAGGCTGAGCCAGTGGGCAGTGGTAGAACAGAGGATGGTTGGTTCTTGGCTAAAGAAATGGCTCCCCAGGTGATGCCCCTCTTTCCCTGCCGTTCATGGAAGGGTGATAGCAGGGACAGCCTCGTCTCCCTTTCCTGAATCTGTCAATGCCTTGAGTGTGCCTACACCCACATAGAGGCCTGTGTTTGTCCAAATGGCTATTCCCTTTGTTCTTTCCTGGCCAAACAGCAGTGCTAAGCAAAAGGGACTGAACAGTGCTGCTCTTGCATGCCTCTCTCCAACCAGCCTCAATCTGGCTATCACCCTTGCTGCACCCTGGCCTGGAGTGACATCTCTCCATCCTCTCCTCTTTTTTGCTGCATCGAAATAACGTATCTAGGCAGAGGCATTTTCATGAAGATGGTGGTAGAGGCTAGGGGTCTACTGTCAATCCAGCAGGAGGAACTGAGCATAGTCCCCAGAGAAGATGTCTTAACCTTGTGTTGTCAGCATTGCTTAGCAAAACAGATATATGCATGTGGTATGCAGTAGCAGAAGAGAATCTAGCAGCTGAGGTGGAAGTGGCAAATGAGATATGCTTCACTTCTTGCTGCTGTATGCCACCTCTGTTTTACCCAGGCAATTGAGGCAGTATGTCACCTTCCATACTGCTGCAGTTTCCCATACTCACTCTTGCCACCCTCGCCTGCCTCCCCACAACCACCACTTCTGTTGCTGCCTTATACCATTTTACAGGAATCTGTAGAATTGCCATGTGTTCAATTCTACAAGGTTTGAGGTCCCAATAAAAATAGCACAGGCAACAGTGAATAATCAAATTCACAGATGTTAAACCTATACGGGAGTTACAATCCTGCACATTATTATGCTTTCGTCTAATGATTACAGTGAGATTGAATTATTCCTCGCTGATTGCAATGGCTCTATTAAAGTATCAGAGCATATATAGAATATAATTACAGCAATTAGAGGAAATTAAATTTTATTCCATTTTTGTTTTGATTGTAGAGAAATTCATATTTTTATGATGGTATCAAATTTAATTTTCCAGTTCAAAAAATTAACATGCTGGTAACATTAATCAAAACCTAAAAACCCCAAAAGCACCACATCCCATCTGATCTTGGAAGCTATGCAGAATCAGTCCTGGTTAATAATTGGATGGGAGACCACCAATGAATACTTGGTGGGGTAGGCTATATTTCAGGGGAAGACAATGACAAACCACCTTTAAGTATTCCTTACCTAAAACCCCTATGAAATTAATGGATCACCATAAGTCCACAGATGGCTTGAGGGTGTGGGAACTCACACAAAAAAATACACACTGTCCAATGAAGAAATACATTGGAACACTAAACTTTCAGCAAATGTGATTCTTTACGATTGCACTTTCACAGCATGAGAAGTGATTTAGTCAGTAAACTTGAATCCAGTTGTTTGTTGCTAAAGGACTGAGGAGTGTTTGCCAACTTAAGTATGACTTCTATTTTACAGGGTTTCAGTCTATCCGTGATTCTCTCAACGCATTAAAGCAAATACAGTCAACGAAGCTGAAACTTGAGGAAGAAAAGTTCAAGCAAGACATGAAGAAGATTCGACGAAAGATAACTGAACTAAAAGAAGATTGATGGCATTTTCTTAAGCATCCAAAGTAATGCCTTTCTGTGGGCACATTTAGGAAATTGAAAAACATTAACCTCTTGATCCTGCAACAGGAACTTTTGTTTTCTTGTGTCTCCCTATATTACCTATAGTAACAAAATTGCCTCTGAAATAGTCCCTTCCAGATCTTTATCAAATCAAAATGAATAATATACAATATACTTTATATTTTGGAAAAAATAAAATTCAAAAGCTGCCAGTAATTGTATCTAGTGTTCCATCCCCAAATTATCCAACCATGAATCTGATTTGTAGCTCTGCCTATTAAAAACAAACAAAAAAGTCTGCTCAGCCAATGGTGGGTGGAAAATAGATTTACTGGTACCAGATCTACTGGTATCGACCTGGCTGTTTGTCAGTAGACCAGTAAGGAGCTCAACCTGCCAGTTCTTAACAATAGGGCAATAAAGTAAATATCACCCTAAATTGTTGAAATGAAGAGAAATCAGACTGAATGTGTGTAATGAGCTTCATTCATTATTGGTTCTTAAAATAGAGCCCAGGCTTCTTTAATTCAAAATATCTGTCTTTTATCTCTGATTTCAGTTGTTAGATCTTGGTGTAAAAACAAAGTGACCCCATAGCTGAAATACTAAATAAATGCAGTTAGTTTTATAATTAAATCCTCATGTCATCTGCTTAAAAACAAAATCGCAGAAAAATCCACTTAACAAAAAACAATTTTTATGACTTCAGTTGTTTTTCAAGCAAAGTGATTCCTTTGTATACAAAATCCCCTTGTTTCTTTAATTTTATAAAAAGTAAAAAAGTAACAAGGCTTCCAGAATGATTGGAGGATGCTAGATAATCGCAGAACTGGAACAATGCCATTTATTGGGATTCCTTTATAATTTCAGACACATTCTTTCAGTAAGTAAGAGAAACCCAACTCTTTCTTTTTTTGCATTGTAAGAATCTTCCACATTAGAGAGATTAAGAAATTTTTGAAGCAATTAAGAAAATAAAAACAAGGATTGTATCTTATACTTAAAGAGAAAATTAGAAAGAAGGCATGGACATATCTTGGCTCAGTAGAATATCAAAATAAGAACTAGTCAAGAAACCCATGAAGACTTAGATTTGAGAAGGTAGCTGTGGTAGAACTAAAAGTCCTCAAGTGTAAAGCATTATTATTAAATACTAAAGTTAAAATCATCCAGGCCGTAGAACTTCCAGTTTCTGTATGTAGTCATGAAAGGAAAATAGTGAAGAAAACTGACAGAAAGACAATCAGTTCATTTGAAATGTGATGGAGGAGAGTGCTGTCAATATAATGGGATTCCAGAAAGACTAATATATTTCAGAGCTTGGATTCTCATTAGAAGTCAACTTTACTACACTGAAACTATTGCACTTTGGACATACTGTGAAATGGCATGGAGAAGATAAAAGTTCAGTAAAATGGAAGGCCAAAGGAAATGAGATGGTTTGTCTCAATAAAGGAAGGCACAATCCTAAATTTTCAAGATCTGAGCAGGGCTGCTGATACCCAGGGAAGCCTCTCAGTTTTGTGATCAACATAAATCAAAACCAAACTGACAGCAAATAATAGCAACAATCCTCTGTTTGGAGCAATATGGAAATAAACCATTAAAAAACCAAGATCCGTTTATTTTCCGCAGCAAACCTGAGAGCTTCAACAAATGGATGTCCTTATTCCTGCCAGTTCTCTATACTAAACTTTCACCTTTCTGTGTAGAAACAACTGGAGTGATGTACAACTAAGGTAGAAAATGTCTTGGTTAAGAATAAGAGGGCTTTGTGAGACCAGTCTATCTCATTGCCACATAATTTTGAGGCAGCGGTGTAGTAATGGTGAGGCCATGAACCATATTTCCATTCTTGGGGACCACCGGTAGTCCACGGCCCTCAGGTTGGGAACCACTGCTCTAAAAGCTATTGATGTTTTCAGGTTTCTTGGAATTATTAGCAAATCTTGAAGCTAATGGCATGCAAACTAATATAGTTTGGTAAGAAGCCATGATCAGCAAGGACCTAAACTAAATGGATGTTGATGTATTTTACTCAAAAAATTCTCCAGAAGAAAAGCAATCAAACAAAGACTTGATTCTGAGATTCCTCTTGCAAATTCTCAATTTTTAACACAATGCAACCTCTAAGACGCCAGTATATAGCAGAAGATTGCCATGGAAAGTCTTTTTCTCTTCAAGAAGTGTTTCTGCTAAAAAAAAAATCCCCAGGTTCTTTTTAGACAGCATACCATCGTTTTTTCTCGACAGAGGCAGGATTTTAAGGCTAGAGATAGTATGAAGGGAAATGTTAATCCCTCTTCAGATACTAGGAAAGCTCCTTTGGGAGGCCAAGAAACATTAGCTGCTTGCCCTGCTGGCTAGGTGATTCTAGGAAGTATAGTAAAAAAAAAAGTGCTGTTTTTCCCATGCTACTTATCAAACTGCAGCCTCAATAGAACATATTTTTTAAAATGTTCAGAAAAAAAACACATTCCAACTGCACTACACACATTTTCACTTAGATGGCCTTTGCCACTAGCTTTGGGTCACATTCTGCAATTGGAAGAGACAGCTTTGACACACTAGAAGCATACCTGAGTCTCAGGACATTAGTGAGTCTGCTTTACACCAATAATTATTTCCCACAAAATGGAGAGTTAGGAGAAAGCTAATGGGATAAGCCATGGGTGAAATTTTACCTCTGGCAATTACACCAACAACAACCCTTTGTGTTGGATATCAAAACCAAAGGACACATCCTTGAATGTGAACTTTCCAGCAGCTCAATTTTTAATTCTTGATCATTCTTGATCAATGTGATCAGAGCGGCTGCTAGAGCAAATCCTTACCTTTCATCCAGGTAAGAAAAACCAAGTAATCTTTTTCAGGCATCTAAATTGTCAAACTTGCATTGCAAGACAACGTGTAAACGTTCTGGCCTTCAACATGATATACCGATTAATTCTGCAAAGCTACCCTTGCATCAGAATCTGTAAAAGGGTTGCCTCATGGATACCGTAACACAAAGAATGAACACATAATATGGGGTTGACTATGAGTCATAATTTGCTTAACAAGTGCATATATTATCAATGCTATGTTTCAAAACCTGAATCATAAATCTTTTTTGCAGCACAGCTAATGCCAACTTTAAGTTAACTTTGTTCTTCACAAGTCCATCGGCGCACATCCTTGAATCTCTTAAAAATAAGTTGAGTTGAACACAAATTTGCAATGAGCGGTTTCATAACAGGTTCTCTCTCTCATATATATATGAACAATTGGCAGAACAGAAGCTTGATTTAAGGACTAACTGCCCTGTGGAGATTGAAACCATGGCTTTCTGAAGATAGTCCTCTGTCTGTCAGCTTCGTCAACAAAGTGCATTAGGATGCTGTTGCTGCTGCTGCAAGTTTGTTATTTAGATCCAATGCCCGAACATCTCTATTAGCTTTGGCGTTTGCTACAAGGGCCTGCAGGAGAACAAGGAGAGAGAGCGGGAAGAATGATATTACGATGGAAATTGAAACGATAGTATGGGAATTATTTTTTTTTATTCTTTAAAAAGACATATAAGTCATTTAGGTCACTACCATACTACTCTGTTATAGTGCAATTAGGTAAAGGTAAAGGTAGTCCACTGACATTAAGTCTAGTCATGTCTGACTCTGGGGTGTGGTGCTCATCTCCATTGCTAAGCCGAAGAGCCAGCGTTGTCCGTAGACACCTCCAAGGTCATGTGGCCGGCATGACTGCATGGAGCACCGTTACCTTCCCACCGGAGCGGTACCTATTGATCTACTCACATTTGTATGTTTTCGAACTGCTATGTTGGCAGAAGCTAGGGCTGACAGCGGAAGCTCATGCCGCTCCCTGGAATCGAACCTGCGACCTTTCGATCAACAAGTTCAGCAGCTCAGTGCTTTAACCCACTGCGCCACCGGGGGCTCTATAGTGCAATTATTCTACTTTAATTCCTATGGGATTTGCAGTTTACAGAGGACCAGAGAGTGGTCCTCTGAGTGGTCCCCCAGAGAATTCTCAGCCAGAGAGTGCTTTGGTCTCACTAAACTATAGACCTCCCACAGCATGAAAAAGTCTACTTTAGATATTATAAGAACAATTTAGTTAGTTGATAAATTTTGAATTATTTTAAACGGGTCTCAACCATTTTTATGTAGAACAGTAAATGGTATTTAATCAAATAGTGCAAGGTGGAGTAAGCATTTTAAAAAACTCTAATAGCAAAAGCTAGCAAAGAGAAATAAAGGAACAAAAATAAAAGCTGTAACCTCAGTATGCTCCAGGTATTATAATTCATACTATATCAAGAGCTTCAAATAGGTGAAGAAAAAAGCTTTCATGCTGTATCCAAAAGTCTGTAAACATGTAACCCAGCTGGGCTTCATGGGAAAATTTAATAACTGCAGCACTATCACTGGAAAACATCTGCTCCAAGAGCAAATGCTTCTAGTTTCCCTAACACTAGGCACAAAAGAACAAAAATCAATTTCTCATCTCAGAGAACAATCTCTAAAATCACTTGAACTTATCTATTACTTAAAAAGGGGTTTAAAAGGCATTTGTACAAAAGCTGCTTACATCTATTAGTTCATAATCATCTTTGGCATATAAGTGTCTTAAGAGATACCATCGGGCTACTGATACTATGGTTTCTGGATATCCGGGTTGATATACCACTCTCTCTAACATGCGACGGGCTTCCCTACAAAGAAAATAAGAAAAAGTATAAAAATTACTGGATATTTTAAGGCATCATTAGAAATATATTGAGAAATGGAATAGGTTAGTACAATTGCAAAAATTACAATTAGGACTATATATTGAAAAATGTGCCATCTAAACCTGCACAGCAAAATTTTCACATTAATCTGAAATACAGCAAAGTAACAGAAGTAGAAATGAGTTATTAACACTGTAAAATCAGAATGAAATGCTAGACCACGCCTTCAGAATGAAGGAGATGACTATCGTTAGCTACCTATTGGATAAATCTGAACTTCCTACAAGTCAGAGAGGTTTTGGCAATTACTATGTTAGATTTTTTTAACTGGGATCTAAAAAGTAATGTTACTGTGAGTAATGGGAATGCACAGACAGGTGGATAGCTTGTTTGCTCTTCCTCTACCAAATTTGCATTCCTAAGGTGGAAGACACTTGTCTGTTTTAAATGCAATATATTAGCAATGGTAAGTGCTACAGTGCAAACTTCACTGAAGCATCTAGTTACAAGAATCACTTCCATTCTCATGGGTAAATTACTTCTGGCCTTCCAGATTTTGCTGGACTACAGCTCCCATCATCTAGCACCTCTAGCTATGTTGGTGTATTTCTGATAAGAGTTGCAATTGAGGAGCATCTACAACGCTTCAAGAAGCCTACCAGTGTTCTTAGGACTGTCGTCTGAACATTTCCTGAACTGTAAAATTTTAAGGTAGATTTCACTAGGTACATATTCTCACTTCACCCCAAATAGGGACTAAATGCATACTTTGTTTTCGTGTAACATAAAGACCTGTACACACCTTGACCCCATTTTGCGGTTGTACTGAAGAAGAGCTTGTAGTAGAACACCCAGTGGACAGAAAGTAAGCTTCAAAGCTTCTGCTGTGGCTTCTTGAACCAGTAACGGCCAGTGATCATTTGAAATGTTAGCCTTTAAACAAAAACAATGTTAGAAAAGCTCAATGGATGTCGAACTGTGGGATATTGATCACCATTGATCCTTGATCACCACACATACGTGACAGTTTACAAAACAGTTTGGGTACATGGGAGCAGCCATGCTACTAATGTTCCTACAGGAGATATTTTTAATATCTGTTGGATATCTGAAAGACTACCTCCTCCCACATGAAAGACACTGGCAGAAATCTTCAGCAGAGGCCTTGTTATATTGTTGTGAGTTTGTGCACACATTACATGGCTTTCTCTTTAACAACATCTGACTGTAGATCTCATCACTAAGAGATGCTAAACTGGCTTCACCTAAGCTTCTAGCAGGCAGCTAAAACCATACTGCTCTGCACAGTTTATAGAACTGCTTGGGCTGGTTTTATAGTCTGATTTAAAATTATTTTAAACTATTTTTAAAGGGTTTTTAAATATTTTATCTCTAAATTGTTTTAAAAAGTTTTACCTGTTGTTCATTGCTGCTGGAGCCCAATTGGGATGGGAGTTGGTATATAAATAATTGAAACAAACAGTAATAAATACATTTTCCATTATGGAATATTTCGTGGACAAGCAAAGATGCTCACTCATAAGGCTTGTTTTGAAACTTACATCAATTAATTAAAAACTTACATCAATCAAACCTTTTTAATTAACTGACTTAAGAGAAAATATTTTTATCTCTTAAATTGTTTTTAAAAGTTGTACCTGTTGTTCATTGCTGCTAGAGCCCAACTGGGATGGGAGTTGGTATATAAATGATTGAAACAAACAGTAATAAATACATTTTCAATTATGGAATGTTTTGTGGACAAGCAAAGATGCTCACTCATAAGGCTTGTTTTGAAACTTTACTCAATTAATTAAAAACTTACATCAATCAAACCTTTTAATTAACTGACTTAAGTCCTAAGTTGCATCCAATATTCAGAAATGTATCTTCAGTTAAATTAATGAAGCATGCTTGACAGAATATTTTGGACTCCTTTAAGAGAATAGGGCTCCAGCTTCCAGCAGAACAGATTAAAGAGAACCAGAGAGGAAAACTACTCCCTCCACATGTCTAGGCCCAGAAGCAGATAAATGGTTCTTCCTCCAGCCCAACTGCCACTGCCCTGGACTCTAAGGGTGAGAAGAAGAGGAAGTATCTGCTGAACAGAATCCCCTCCCTAACTGCTATCCTCTCTCTTTTTTGGACATGTCTTAATTAGGCATCAAGACTAAGTATCTTTTTACTGCATCCTTGAAGTGACTGTCTTGACCTTGAAGGAGCTGGGGGTGGTGACTGCTGACAGGGAGCTCTGGCGTGGGCTGCTTCATGAGGTCACAAAGAGTCGGAAGCAACTGAACAAATAAACAACAATCTTTTTACTTTTAAATTGCTATATAGCAGTGGTTCCCAGCCTTTTTTTTTTTTTTTATCAGGGACCACTTTCCAACATTAGTACCAAAAGGGTTACAAATTAGTTTTTGGTCAACTTTAGATTTGGTTTGGTTATTTGGGGTTCTGATTCAGAAAATTGCATTGGATAGACCACATCAGCTCTAGTTTCTGATGCAGAATATATGCCATCGAATAGTCGCCATCTTTTCACCCACAGAAAACCATATTTAATAATCTAGAGCTGATGTGGTAGTAGTAATCTTTCATGGGTAGTCAGCCTCTCCCCTCCTGACATCCCCATTGCCTCAGCACTATAAGAGGGTTTCACAAGAATAATAATAATAATAATGCTATTCTATCTTAAAATCTACTATTCTAAACTGAAATTATTACTGCTTATTTAAAGTTGTTGCAAGGTTTCAAGACAACTGTGAGGTCATGGACCATATTTGCATTCTTGTAGACTACTGGTGGTCCATGGACCACAGGTTGGGAATCACTGCTATATACAGTAAGGGTACTACAATAATAAGAATAAACTGCACATTGCTTCCTAAAATGGAAACAGCTGGATTGATAAAAGAACACAATAGCGTTCCCTAACATTTTTTGTGAGAAACAACAAACATAGTTAATATGGTATATCTTGTCTACATACATTAAACAGCAATTGACATTGTGGAATAGCACTTTTATCTCTCCCCTTACAACTGCAAGTGAAACCAAGTAACTCTGAGAAGTGCCAGTGGTTCACTAATACAATTACTTTCACAGCACATTTTTGATGAAAGGTGATGAATGTATATTACTCTAACGGGGACTTTTATGGACACAATGGTCTGATCACACATTTTCTCTGATTCTACTCACAGTTATGAAATGGGGACCGTACTACTGCATTATAAACACAGATGGCTATGGCCAGCACATTTTATCATTGCATAATTTAGCTCTCTTACCATGCAGATTTCCAGGGCAAGCTTAGCAAGTCTTAGTAGGCTAGAGAGCTTCCCACTCCAGCTTCCCTGCTGGGATGCCAGCTGTAAACTTTTTCGAAAACACATCTCTGCAGCAACCATCATTCCTTGGGACTGATAAACTTCTGCTAACCACTGAAGAGAGGAATAAGATTCATTGTTTAGACTTGCAGCTTTGTTTTAATTTTGTTATTGGATACATAGTGCCTAGTCTCATAGTTATGTTCAGCATTCCTTTAAAAAAGAAAACCTAAAGAGAAGGTTACTTTGGAGCAGAGGTGGGCAACCTATGTTGCATTTTGTTAATTCTATGATAGGGATGTGACAGAATGAAAAAGAAATGATCAAAGAACAGAATTAAGAGTACTGTTTGTAGTATGTTTGACAATATTTTATATCATCACATGCATTAATAATGACTTCAGTGATCTGTGTACCAGTGTTCATGTAATGATAAATTGCATTATTTGCAAATACAAGAAGGTGGTTATCAGAAGGTCTTAAGAAGAACAAGAACTCAGGAAAAACCCTTAAAAGATTCCAAAACAGCAACTGAGGACTCAATATTTCCAGTGAATATTATTAACTGTAGGTGACAGAAGGTGAAGGGATGAGGAAAATGCAATGAAAAGTCTGGAAACCTTTATTTTTAAAAATATTGGCAAGTGCATTTGATTAGGTGACACCTGGTTAGTAGGCCTGTGCGGTTTCGTTCGTTATTTCGTTAATTCGTTAAACATTCGTTATTTTGGGCATTTCCGA